CACCCAGTCAGAGGGCTCGGACAAGCCATCCATGGCAATACCCACGCCCATCTTCACACTTACTATGTGGACTTTACCGATGGTGGTAATCGCGCAAGCAGCTATGCGCATACTGTATTTCGATTCACGCTTATGCTCGCATCGCATTCGAACTTAACATCGCACTCGATGCCCCTTTCATTCTGCTGTTCGCACTCGTCTGCACGGCTGTTTGCAATGCGTCTGAACGGCCGCATTGCAATCGGAAAGCAAAAGGGCACCTGGGCCACGCCGCCAGACACAAATCGCTGGCAACTCATCCTTCTACACATCAGCAGATCCTCCATCATAACCCATGATGAACGACTTGAAATCATTCGCAGAAATCCGACCTGATCCTTCACCCTCTGGGAACGTCTACGTACGTGCGATTCCTATGAGATTTCGACCACGGGACGAGGACTCGGCTCCAGTCGGCGATCCTCCACCGTTGAGCCCCTGCCCCGTCTGGCCAGCTTCCGACCCCAAACGTATCCCAAAGCTGAGCTTTCTCAGAGAATTGATGTTTACTTCCGCCGACATTCCGCCTGCAAGGCCGCAAATGCTTCACTCCCGCCGGCATCCGCTGTCATCCACCGCGAGGGCGAGAGGTTCACATCTTTGGCTTACCCTGAGATTTGGCGTTGTGGAGAATCAGCGTTCGCAGGGAAATCACAACCGGAACTCTCTACCGCATCTCTCTACGGGGGCCGGAAACTGGGCGGAAAAATCAATCGTGTTCTCGACGGCGCCATGTGTTCTGCTGCCTACCGATGAGTCTGGGGCCTCGACTCTGTCCCCAGTCGGCTGCTCGGGACGATTCGGGGCTCCCCCCCAAATCAGCAGCCAATCAGCAACTCCAGAAACAAGAAAAAAACTGCATAAAAATGAAGTGTCGGAGCACTGCGCGAATTTCTCGGATCTGCACCGGTAAACCCTCTCTGGCGCGCGGAGCGCGCCATGGTCGGCGCTGGAGGCGCCGCCAGTGGGGCCCTAGCGCCGATCCGAGAAATCCACAGCGGCAAAATAGTATGTTTATGTGGTTTCTTCTGCTCGGGATCTCAGCCCCGACTCGGCTCGATGACCCTCAGAACGTGTGTTGACGCTAACGTTTGTCAAGCGAAGCCCTTCGGTAAGTTGCACGTTGCGTAAACGCACATCTGCGCGCGTCACAGCGCGTTTCGGCACGCTGGTGGATCGCAGGTGCCGAGCGCGAAATAAAGTGCACGCGGCTGGCTCTGATTAGATGAGCTGAAGAAACACGTTTCCCCCATGCGTCGCGGGAGCGAAACTCTGCCACAAACCGCGCAAAGAACTGAGGGAACTGACGGAACCGAAGGAAAATTTGTGACTAACGGAAACGATACGTCGGTTTCTCTGAACGACCGAACACGCTACTCTATTTCTACGTCAACGACCACCCTTACTGACGGAAAGGGTTACGTCAGCAACGGAAAGTTACGTCGGTAATGTGCACCAGCTGTCGACGGAGAGTGGCGAGGGCAGGAGCGGGAAAGAGAAGGGAGGGGAGTAAGGAGGCGGAGGAAATAAGAGGATAAGGACGGGAGGAGGAGCTAAGGGTGAATGTTTGAGCAAAGGCAAGAGGCGAGCCGCATCGAAAGGATGACTCCTGCGCGGCCCCGACGAGGCCCCGCAACACTTGCTGCTTCGCACTGATGACTGTCAAGAGCTGCGAGTTATCGGCGGAGCTGAGGGAGGATAACACGCATTGGGCTAACACACGTTCGGAGGATCATCGACCGGCCCCCGTCACGGGCAACCACCGCGCGCGCAAGTGCCACCCCAATAGGCAGGCAGCAGACGGGGACTTCCATCGTTGCAGGTGACTGTTCCTCATTGTTTCCACTTGACAGTTGTTACCCCCGGGCGGCGGGTTGGGGCCCCGTAGCAGTGACGCATGGGCGGGGTGAAGCACCTGTGCAAAGCCTGCACCAGTACGGCGACTGCGAGCACCGGCAAGACCCCATCCAAGAGGTACGATCGTGACCGCTGCCGCGGGTGGGAGTGTGGTCCAGAAATAACCGTTCAGCGCCAGAGGATAAAAACATAGTCTCCAGGAGCGCAGAAGAGCCCAAAATCGAATCGACAAGTCGGATCGGCGATCGAAATAAATCGGACCGGCGGAAGTCGACAGCAGAGTCGGGAGAAGTCGAATCGTCAGAAATCGGCAGGCTACAGTCAACCCATATAATCAGGACACACGATAAGGATGCAGGGGCCTTGGAAGGCCATGTCGACATGGCCATGTCGACACTGTGCGAGTGGAGCGCGGCCAGCGGAAGCGGCCAATGATGGGCCGAGTGGGAAGGTTGCCAGGGTGAACTTGGAAAGTAGCTCTCATCCTTACTACACGGGCTGACTGTAAGCGCCTTTGAAAGAAAACTGCCAGGCGCAGATCCACGGGTGCGCGCGGCAAAAGTCGGCACCCCATTCCGCGGGCTCCCAGGCCGAATGGCTAGCCAACGTCTAAAAGCTACCGAGTGCATCCAAGGATCACACACACACATCTATTAGCGAAGCCGACGAGGGGATGCACCAGCACACTGAAGCCGACGAGGGAATACACCAGCACACTGGCGGATACCAGTGTCGAGTGAATCGGTGCAGAAATCCTCAATCGACTTGTTTTGGCGAGTGTTCTCTCAAAGCCCGAATGCACCCAGGCATCCGACGTAAAATTTTGTCCCATGCGCGGCCCCAGTGGTCCCAACCCCTTCTCCAGAGCGGGCAGCATTTCGTCTCAGATCCATGTTTGATAGTCCAGGGCCCAAGAAAGGGCCCCAGGGGCCGACATCGAGGAGACACGCTCCGTCTGCCAAGCGGATAGCGTGTCGCTCCATCGGCGATAGGCACCCGATAGCGCATCCTCGCGTTCCTGGGCGGGGTGGGGCTACGTACCGGGCCCTTCTCGGCGATGGATGGGCAACTGGCGCTCCCCCCAAGTCCTATCCCCCCCATATCGTTTCCCTGAGACACCAAAGTTCCTGACCGTAGCTGGTCCCTCGCCCGCCGCGGGCCGTGGCCGCGTCCTGGCTGGAGGCGGACGCGGGCGGCTTCGCGTCCTTCTTCGCCTCTCCGGCACAGGGGGCGCCCTCGGCCGAAACCCGCCCGCGGCGGCCGCGTGCAGGCCGGGCCGAGGCGGCCCAGGCCTCGGACGGCTCGTCGGGCACGCGCTGTCGGAACGGGTGACTTGGGGATGGGGTGAGGGGGACGGGAACGAGGAGGAGGAGGAGGAGGAGGAGGGGGAGGGGGAGGTGGAGGAGGAGGGGGGGGGAGGGCCAGCTCCGTCGGAAGGTCAATCACCCCCCCCTTGATAAATACGCCATCCAGAGTTGGCTATGCTCAATGACGGTGCTCTTTCCCATGCGTTCAACCACAAGGGCAGTCTTCGAGCCCTGGGGTGACACCGACGATGGATCTTTGGCGAGAAGCCCCCGGGGAAAGTGCCGAGACCTCGAGGGACCCGCCGGCTGAACGTGTCACGTCGTCGGATGTCTGATCAAGCTTGTGGCGTCTCGAGCCCTTGACACCTCCCTTGAGGCCAGTCGTTCTTATCGGGATCGGTTGCTTGACGGCCCTAGTGCGAGGAAGTGCCCAACAGACGCTTCCGAAAATAGCGAAAACTTGCCTGGGGTAAGTGCGTGTGAGATGTTTGGCGATCTATCTCCCCCCCCCGCTTAGCGTGTCGCGGCGGCGGCCCTGGCGACACGCTATGCCCTGCGAGCTGCTGGCGTGTCGCTCCGCTTCGCGGGACGGGAGGCTGAGGAAAGCTAGGGACATTGGTGCTCGGGGACGCGGACGTGATTAGCGTGTCGCGACCAAGCGTGGAGGACCAGAACTGGCGGAGCAACACGGTAAACAACCATTTCCGATCGAATACCCCCTCCGGGTGAGTCCAGGATCGTGTTTGAGGGGGGGTCCGCCGACACGCTCCTCAACGCACCTTCCAGGCCCTCACAGAGCCTACAGATCAATACTCGGACGCCCCCAGCATACCCAAGACACCCTTCAAGACTCTCATAGACCCATAGAAAGCCGAAGAGAGTCCCAAGAAGAAGCTCACATTGTCACACACCTATTTTGTTAGAAACTTCTCTGGAGTTTCCCCTTCATGTTTGCCACCGCGCCTTACCGCTCTCGGACGCCTCGACGGGGGTCAGGGCAGCCTCTTCGGACGTCCCCCGGTAGCCAAGCTTGCCCCAAAGGGCCCAGGCCCAGGATGGGCCACAATGGCTCCAGGGACTCCCGGCTGACCTTCAGAACGCACCAAAATGGGCCCAAGACTTCCCAGCACTTCCCAAGACTGCCCAAGACCGCCCCGAGACGGCCCCAAGACTACCCCACGCGCCAAACAACCGTTAAAGACGACCCAAAGTCACAGAAGGGGCGCCAAGATGGCCCCAACGGGTGCGAAGAGAGCCCCACAAGAGCCCCAGAGGGCCGAACCGCACACTCCCGCGAGGGCCACAAGAAAGGCCCGAATGTCGCCAACCCCCAAACAATGACTGATCGTGAGATTTGCGTGCTAGTTCCCCCCCTGGGGGCCAACTATTTGATTCTGGCCTTGCGGGTTCACGGAGTGCGTCTTCCTGACGTTGCCAATGCCATGATGGAAAAAACAAGACTGGCCCTTCGACAACTTCGAAGCCCATGCTCTGACAACCCCTCATCTCCACTACTCATACTACGGCTGGTATACTCCTCATCCTCCCCCCACCATTAAATTATGTCCCAACTTCCTCCTTCGCCTCTGCGTCATCCTCCTGCTGCTTAGAAAGCCCACACGGAGCTCACGATATGACGCGAGATGCCAAAAAGAGAAAGCCCTCCAAGAGACCCTGAATCGGCGGTGGACAAACCTCCTTAATGACAACGGCCTGGGACCGAAACCGACGGACCTGGACCCACAAAAATGACGGCCGCGACGCCCTCTCGCGAACCGAAAACGGCCAATTCCTGAATCGACGTGTCAGGGTAGGAGGTCTACCCACCTCCGACTGAAAAGGGGGGCCCAAAACTGAGATGGCCACGAGGACTTCCTGACACCCTGCCCAATCTCCCCCGCCCCTTGGCGTCGTCCTCCCGCGCCCGACCGCGTTCGGGCAGCCCTTCGCAGCCTAGGTGGCGCTCGCTCAGTCAAGAAGGAACGAAGCCCCATCTTGGCTCCAAAAGCGCCTGCGTATACGAGGAGGGCTAGAGGAGCAGCCATGGAAGGACCCAAAAAAATCGAGCCATTCCGAACCCAGACTGTTCCTGACTTCCGCGTCTTGGCTGCAGTCCGAAGTTCTTGATCGTACCCTTCGGTGGTCGGCAGAACGGCGTGGGATCAGGGCCAACTCCCCTGCAGAGCTCCCTACCTGCGCGCTACCTCTGCGCTGGACCTCTCGGGGCGGACCGATCTCTGCAGGGTCCCCGCGCCCTGACTGGAGCAGGGACGCCCATCGTGATTGCAGTCGAGTTGGACAGCAGAGGACACGCGAGAGGGCCCCAGGCACTTCTGAGGGCCACACCGCCCCAGGAGTACTCAGGACGTGCGGCTTCAAGACGACAACTGAACGACGGCCCCCGAGCGGAAGTCCCCCCAAGAAAGTGCAAACACAACACGGGAGCCAACACCAACCCAAGATTTCCGCGTCTTGGGGTCAGCGGGCGCTCCACCAAAGCATCAATCGCTTACTTGAGCAAGCGCAACTCACATGAGCGACTGAAGAATTGGTGGAACGCCCCCTGATCCTCGAACACAACTTATGGATGTGGCTGGGACGGGGCGGTGCACCGTTCGATTTGCTCGGTAACCCTCTGGATTATCTTCTGGGTTCTGGGGGGATTTCTCGACATGGCACCATGGACACCAAGGGTGGTACCTACTAGTTTAAAGTTATGTCACGTCGCCCAGGTGTGTAGATTCTCGGCTTGTTATTCGGGAGCCGTACTAAAGCGGCCGCTCTGGACAGTCCCAGGCTTCGGCAAGAAAACGCAACAGGCATGAATCGGCCACAAACATCAACGAACGAAACCGCTTCGAGGACGCACCAACCTGGCTCAGCGCAAACTCTGGTCAGCCAGTAGGGCCAGGGCGCGAATCCTTGCCTGCCGCGCTCAGAAAGCCGGATCAGCGGGGGGAGGGGGGAGCGGGGGGTTAGGTTCAACCTGGCTCGCAAACCTGGTTCAACCATACATTGTGATCATATGGGATTGTCTGGCCCAGATACCCGGCCGGGAAGCGGACTCCAGAGAACCAGACTTGCGAAAAACTGGCCGCCCCGACTTTTTCGAGCCGCTCAAGGCTAGATCTCTGGGAGGCCCCGTTGTCGACTACACGTATGAGTGACCCTTCTTGCTTGAGTGACCTGTGGTGCTGGCCCCAATGGGGTCGGCAGACTTTTCTTTTGAAGTGAGCTTGGCCTCGCGTCGGCTGACGTATCGCGTGACTGCGCTCGAATCAGAGCGCGCCAGGTTTGGGCCCCGCCCCATCGACGGCAGCGTCACACCCTGCAGTGTTTTCCCCCAGCCCAGCGCAAAGCGAAGAGATGGAGGAGATCACTCCGCAGGGCGTGGGGAAAGACTGCACTATAACACCAGCGAGGGCTGCAACACCAACAGTGGCCCCTGACCCGGGCAGAAGGCAGAAGGGGACGACGACGAGGAGGAACGAACAAGAGAAAGGAGGGAGGGAGGAAAACTGCGCGCTGGCACCCGCCACTGCTTAGGAGAACGGTCACCGAGCAAAATCGTGCGAACGCGGAGCGATGCGAAATTACCTCACATCGTATCGGTGAGACGGGGTAGAGAAGAGGGGGGGAGGATGCGAAGGGCGGAGGACGAGAAGGAGCGAGATGATACAATGATACAAGCATGGCCCGGATTCGTATCATAGCGAATCGCGTGGTTGCCCAAAATCTGCCGAGTGAAAGGAACCACGATCGTCCACAGATCGTATGTCTGGCGATTCTGGCCGAAATTCCGGGCGGAAGTTCGGGCAATTATTCGCTTCAGCGAGAACTCACAAGTGCAAATCACACTGCGTGAACTAATATACTGAATGGGAGAACCCGAACACGTCGCAAGTGAAACACATGTCGGCGAAAAGGGGAGGGGAGGGGAAGGCTACGAAACCCGCAGCCGCATCTAGGCGGAGCGCAGCATGGACTTTAAAGCTGGATGGCCTCGGGCGCCTCCCCGCAGTAGGCCAGAAAAGCGGCAGCTACAGCTCCGGCGGGCGCAGCGCCACAGCGGGCCTCCCCATGGGTTCTGTACACCGCGAACACGGCGAGCGTTCGTAAAAGAGTCGCCTCTCCCGCGTCATTCTCGTCGCGCCGGGAGCGGCGGGGGTGCCCGAGATCCTAGAAGCATGCCAATCTGTTCGCACGCGTTGGCCGTGCCAAACCGTCGTGGCGCGAGCGACACGAACGGTATGACTCAGAAGAGGCGTATTGTTCGATGGAATAATCTTTGCGGCCGCAACCGAGCAGGCAATCTGGCCTGCCCTGTGAACGCCGCGCCGCGCACCACCCATTGAAAGCCGTGCGGGCGAAAGCGGCGTGGGCCTGGCGCGCCAGCAGCTGGGATACTGCACTCCTCTGGTCGGTCCGGCGCCGCGGGACGATGTCAATGGCCCACCTTCCTACTTTGACCTGGGCGTGCACGCGGGCAGGGCTGCCCGCAGGCCTCAGAATCGTCATCGCCCAGAGCTGCCATGTTCTCCTGCCCTCATCGTCCATCGGGCCCGCGCCCAGCAACGACGAATCGAGGCTCCGCGCCCGCTCCGCCGCCTCGACGGTGCCCGCCGCCTCCAAGAGCCAGAAGAGGGAACATGAAGAGCCAGAAGAGGGAACATGAAGAGGTCGAAATCTGAAACTGGGACAACGAGCGTTTTCGCGACATTGAGCCAGAGGCCGGACATCGGGACGAACTCCTCGAAAATGGGCGCCAGCACAAGGACTACACTGAGCCCGCCGTGTAACGGCACCGCCGCGTCATCCGCGCACGCGCGGAGCGCAGAGACCAGCAGAGTCGCCGAACCCGCTCGAGGAGGAGATCGGACGCAGCAGCGAGGAGCAAAGGAAGGAGCGGGCAGCCCTGCCTGACTCCCCGCGTGGCCACGAAGCCGTCGCACAGCGGCCCGCTAAAGGCAATCGTACAGACGCTCCGGTGGTACAAGACGCGGACGCACTGGAGCCGGAACAGCTCCAGCAGGAAGCCATGCCCCACCGAGGGGAACGCGGCCTCAAACTCCATGAAGAACGCGAGGGCGTCCGGGCAGTCGATCGCATCAGTACACATAGCTTCCTCCATGCCAATGGCGTTGTGTAACACGGACCTGCCTTGCAAGAAGCCGCGCTGGGCCCGGGAAGTGCTGGAAGCCAACGCGGGCTCCAGCATTGGCCGGACCGCGCTGGCGAAGATCTTGTTTTCTGTGCTGGCCACGCTCAGCGGTCGAGTCTCACTCGCATTGCACACCGCGACGCACTCGTCCGTGGTGCCCACCGCCTTCTTCGGCAGGAGGTGCAACAGGCTCGCGCACAGTGGTTTCCCGAGAGGGACGGCGCGTTTTAAGCAGTCCCGAATCCCAGCCCAAATGCCAATTCGTCTGGTGTGTGAATATCTTTGGATACGTATCTTGAATAAGTCAGAACATGCTTTGAACCAAAGGGGATCTTCACTATTGCAAACTAACCAAAATTTGTCAAACATATTCCAGCCCCACGGATGGGGCCAGTTTTGACCATGACGCCGGATCTTGCCAGACGTCATCGCGATGCGGCCTGGCAGTGCCAGACCTCCTCGTGGAGGCCCCCAGCAGCGTCTGACTTCGCAGCGCCTTCGAAATGCCACTAGAGGCCTTCGAATCCAATTGGTGGAACAATTGCCCGCTGGTGCGAGAGATTTGTCGAGTGGCGCCCCGCCGATCGTTCATGCGGCGCGGCAGTTCTGGCTTGCGCGGTTGCGTTGGGCCCCCACGGGCGCCCACGAAGCCGCGCACCGAAGGTCACATTACCCCTAGGGCCACTCCTACGTGAAGTCGATGTTGGCGCTGCCCCGCGATATCTGCGACCCGGTCACACCCGAAGCCCAGGGAACCTCCGAGGGGAAGGGCGGCGGCGGTAGGGAGTCGCCTTCTGGCCCTTCGCCTTGCCCTTCAACTTGGCCTTCGGCCAGCCAGGCGGCTCCCTTTCTTTCTCTCCCTCTCTCTTTCTTTTTTTTGTTCTCTCTCTCTCTCTCTCTCTCTCCTGTAAATATCTCCCTCCCTCCCTCTCTGTCCCTCTCTCTTTCTCTCTCTCTCTCTCTCTCTCTCCCTCTCTCGCCACTCCTTTTCACACCACTCCATCCTCCCTCCCTCACCCCTCCTTCCCCACGATCCTCCCTCCTTCCTCTCCCTCCTTTCGCTCCCTCTCCCTCCCCTCCGCTTCTCCCTGCCCCTGACCACGCCCTCCCGCCTCCTTTTCTCGCTCGCCCTCCCCCCCCCCGCCTCCCTTCCCTTCCCGCCTCCTTTCCTCCACGTCCCGTTTTTCCTCCCCTCCCTTTCTCCCCGCCGCTCCTCCAGCTTCCTCCCCGAACCCCGCTCCCCTCCGGGGCCCGCTCCCTTCATCCCACCTGGGCGGGTGGATCATCTCGGGGCCCTCTCTGGAGGGCGTCAGCAAAGAATCACGGCGGGCGCCTGGTCTGACAGCCCAGGAGGGGGGGAAAGGAGGAACTCCAATCGGCGGATCGGTCCTGGAGCAGACAGGACAAAGTTTAGAGGTCAGCGCGAAGATTGCAGCGACCTCCCCTTCGACTGCGAATGGGTCAGCAGGGGTTCTCTTCTTCGCCGCAACACTTCCATGCATCCCCGGAGGGGGCCGAGGCAGCTCCATCCACAATCACCGGCGAGCCCCCGAACCGAGCGGGAGGTCAGCTTCGAGACGCGCAAGAAGACCTTTTGCAAGGGGTGTGCGACGGGGCGGTCGCACCGAGGCGGGCGGGTGACGTTCTCCTCCTCCTCCTCCTCCTCCTCCTACTCCTCCTCCTCCTCCTCATTCCCCAACCTCTCCAACCCATCACTCCCTTCTTCCTTTCCCTCCTCATCTTTCTTCCTCCTCCTCCTCCTCTTCCTCCTCCAGCTCCTCCTCGTCCTCCTCCCACTCCTCCTGCTCCTCCTCCTCCGCCTCCTCCTCCTCCTCCTCCTCCTCCTCCTCCTCCCCCTCATCTTCTTCTTCTAGGTATGTTTATTATGCTTATGGTTATTAACGTATTATTGTTTGTCCTCCTCCTCCTCCTTCTCCTCCTCCTCCTCCCCTTCCTCCTCCTCTTCCTCCGCCTGCTCGAAAGCAAGTTGCGTAGCTTCCTCGCGGCATCAGCGACACAGTCCCTCCCATCCACTTCTCCCTCATCCTGCAAAGGCCGCAGCGCGGGCCTGTCGCGAGCGCACGCGCTTGCGCCCGAACTTTCATCCGCCAGCATTGCGACTCTCTTGAAGGCACCGAAGAGCACCCTCCTCCTCCGCCTCCTCCTCCTCCTCCTCCTGCTCATCATCATCGTACTGCTTGTCGCGCAGGTCATGCAGCGTATGGTGGCCGCACCCCATCGGCCAGCTCTGCCACCACATGCCCAGCTTTCTGCGCAGCAGGCCGGACTACGCCAGCCTGCTGTCGAAGCCCAGGTTGGAGGAGGCTTCCTTGCTCCTCCCCCTCCTCGGCCGAATTTGTTCCCCCCAGTATCATATCTCCTTCTCCTCGGCGCAGTGTCCTCCTCCCCTTTTGTCCCTCCTTTCTACCTCATCTCTCCACGCTCTCCTCATCTCCCCTCCGCCCCCTAATTACCTGCATACCTCCCCCCCTCCTCCCTTCCCCCTCGCGCCCACCTCGCCCTCCTCCCCAGCGCCTTCTCGGCCTTCGCCCCCTCGCCCTTGGAGGCGTTCGACCTGGCCGCGGGGCGGCACGTCGCTGCACCTCCCCCCTCCCCCTCCCTCTCCGGCGATCTCCGCGAGAACATGGCACCCGCATTGGGGGGGGGGGGGGGGGGCACGGGACGCGTGGGTCCTCCTATCCCCCTCCCCCTCCTCCTCCTTCTCCTCCTCCTCCTCCTCTTCCTTTCCTCCTCCTCCTCCTCCTGCTCCTCCTCCTCCCTCCTCCTCCTCTCCCTCGTCCTCCTCGTCTTCCTCCTCCTCCTCCTCCTCCTCCTCCTCCTCCTCACCCTCCTCCTCCTCTCTCAGTCAGCGGCAGCGGGCTTGGCAAAAACGGCTCGCTGTGTTTTGCCTTCACGCCCCAACACAATGTCGTCGCGGGCCCGATCTGCTCGATAGTCCAGGGGCCCCGCAAAAATCCTCCACTGGGACACGCAACGCGTGCTTGATAGCAACAGATCCGCCCTGCCACTTTACAAATGACACCCTTCTCCAAGCACGAGAGAAAATCCTCATCCGCATCATCCTCCGAATATCCTCGTCCTCCTCCTCCTCCTTTTGCGCGTCTTGCTTCCATGCGCCACCATCAGGAACCTACAAAAGGAGGCACAATCAAATACAGGCGACACCTTGATGAACGAACGCACGCCACACACGCACACTGTTCCTCCAGCGGCGAGGTGACGACATCGTCGAGATGCAATAAGCCGGGCTACGCTGAGGCGAGCTTCCACGTGGCGTAGCACATAGGCGAACTCACCTCGCAAACTTACACACGCGCGCGCCACGCAAGCGAACTGTCGACGCAGCGCCGCCTGAAAGCGTTCCTTTTTCCTCCTCCTCCGCCTCCGCCTCCTCCTCCTCCTCCTTCTCCTCGTCTTCCTCCTCATTCCTGCTCTGAGGGTGGCCAAAGGGGGGGGGGTCTGGCGCAGAGGGCGAGGCAATGACTTAGGCGATATATCATCTATGAATCAGCTATAGGCCTCCAATCGCGAAGCCGCACGCTTCCCCGATTGACGATGAATGGGCGATCGGGGGCCCATGCTTCCACCCCTGGACCAAGCGCCCCCTGACGATGCCCCGTCTCGTTCTGGCGCCGAACCGAAGGCCGAAAGGGACACGGCGAGAGGGGGAGCCACCTGAAAAGGCCCCCCCCCCGCTTCTCGGAAGGCGTGAGGCGTAGGGCTTTCCAGGCGGCCAGTCCACTGTAGGAAGCACCCTGGCCCTTCTGAGAGCGCCGTGCCCCCAGACTCTTGCCCCTCAGCCCAGACTTCCGAAAATGTGGCTGTATTCCATCCGGGCATGTTCCATCGACTCCGGCCTCGGGGCGCATTTGCTGGGCCCCGGCACCTCCAAAGTGGAGCCAGGACGGAAAGTTACCCCCTGAGGAAGTGGCCAAGACCTCTCCGGAACGCGCACAGAATGACAACCAAAAAACAATAAATTGTCCGGGTTCGCTCTCTCACAATCCGCCCTCTACGGTAAGGATATGTTGCTGAGCGGCCCCTGCGACACGCTGCGCCTTGCAAGCCGATGGCGCATTGCTCTGCTTCGTGGGACGCGAGGCTGGGGCAACGTCGGAAAAGTGATGCCTGGAGCGTCGCGACGGAACAACCGCACATATTGGCGTCGGTCCCAATCCTGCTGCGCCCTGCCCTTGGTATGCTTGCGCGCAAACTCACTCGGCTCCGTTCTCAAACAAATCGGCTGCCCATTCTCTCCAGGCTGCCGCTACCTCGTATGTGTGCTCATCCAGAAGTTGTTGCGCCCTTCTCTCCACTTTTTCAAGGGCGCGCACGAATTTGGGGAGCCCCACGCCAAAAACACCTTCCTCAAAGATCCTGGACGCCCAAGAATCAAGCCCACGGAGCACCTGATCCTCTGCCTGAGGCCAGAAAAAAAAAAACGACGGAATCAATCGTGTGATTGGTCGGCATTTGAAGATTTGCCTGATCGGCCTGGCCCTCCGAAGGCTGCTGCCCGACAGCCCCCGCCAGAATGGAAATAACCTTTTCGGACCTCCCGAGGTGCGCGGCCCACCTGGAAGCATCGCACCGGGCCCTCTCAGCCTGGGGAAGATGGTAAAGGTCTTAGATAAGGATACCTCCGATAAGTGGCCCAGGGTCTCGCGACCGATGGGATGCCAATCGTGGGCCACCCACCTCGCCTTGAAACAAGAAGAGACGCGCCAGGGTTTGGGCCTCAGGAAGACGCTTCATATCCAATGCCTCCGCCGTGTAGTCCTTTTTGCCCGGGGGTACCACTGGAGCTTAGCGAGAGAGAACCCAACTGGCCCAGCCCCCCTCGGAAACCCTCCCTTTTTCTGCTGGCCAGGATGGGCGCGCAAGCATTTCTAACTCAAACTGCGAGACAACGGCGTGCAAGACCTCCCGCAAAGACTGGCCGTCGGTCGCCCCATCGCTCCGGCCACTGACGCAGTGCCACTCTTCTCGGGAACCCGCGCGTCCAGCAGATGGGGCCGATGGAACCCGCCCCGGGTTCTTTTTTTTTTGTTTCTCTCTCTCTCTCTCTCTCTCTCTCTCTCTCTCTCTCTCTTGGAAAAAGGTATCCGCCCCCGCCGGAGTCAGGCACGGCGGCAGATGCGGGGAGGCGCGGCTGCGCTTGCATACCAAAGCTTGGTAAAGACGCGGCGCAAGACTGCCCTTGAAACGACGCACTTGCCCAGGAAACTCCGACCCTGCCTGCGCGCTGGCTCTGGCGGGGCTCCGACGGCCCGCCCATCCAAACATGCGCAACCCGCCCTTCGTTCGCACCCAGGTAGACTGACGCGAAAACGAGACCACCAGGAACACCCCAATGGACACGGGCTGGCAAGGCGCGCCCTCTGGCCAGGGACGCGGAGCCCATGGAAAGCACCTATGCAACCGCCGCGCCCCCGGTCGCCAACGGCGCAAGACCTGCGCGCGCGCCACTCGCCTGGCCAAACAACGCGGCAAGACCCGATCTCCGGGCCGACCCACGTCCAGCGCACGGCGGTGGGCGTCGCCCAACCTGTCCTCTGGAACGTGGTCGACCTGGGCCTCGACGCGTGCGCGACTGTGACATCTGCTTCTTCTCTCAACACATGATGGTGGTGATCGCGCCCTTCGCTGCTGCGCTCTGGTCGCTACCCGCGCCGGCATGTCTGGCGACCTGGGCTTCGGTCGATAGCTCGCGCGAGGCTGCTCCGCGTAAGTGACTCCCCGAGCAGGAGGCTGCTTCGGGCCCTGGGAAGGGGCCATCTGCGCGCCCGCGGCCCGGATCTCTCGCCAGGCACCGTAGGGCGGGGCCACGGTCGCTCAACCGATCGAGGCTGTTGCCCGCCCGCTGGCGGCTCGAGCTCGAGGCCGGTCGGGGAAAGAGCATCGGCCACCCGCGCGTCCGCGGCCAGCGAGCCCATATCGCCACCGAGATCCAAACCCTGGGGCCAACGCTGCCCCCAACCATCTTGGAAATAATGGCTCGGCGCCGTCGCCATCAGAGCCGACTCCGGCGCGCGCGCGGCTGCCCCCCAGCCGTCGGAGGCGCGCTCTTCAGGGGTAGCGCGGGCCAGGGCATCAGCCGCCCGCGCGTCCGTCTCTTGTCTCACGCCCCTTTCACGGCGGCCCTCGGCCGCGGCCGCGTCGCGTTCCTGTCCGCCCAAGTGGAAGTAGCTGCTCCTGCCATCCTAGGGATAACTCGGCGGCCGCGGCCTGTCCCCTTCTCGCGGCTGCACTCCGTCCGTCGACGGCGCGCGCAGGGCACGAACCTTGGACCAGGGCAACGACCGCCCGTGCGTTCGCGGCCTGGCGCACGCGGTCCTTGCCAAGACATTCGACCACGGAGGGCCCACTCGCCGCCGCGCCGAAGTGGAAATCATCATAGCCGCTCTGCGATCCCACCGTGGCAGTAGCAATCCAGAAGAAAGGGGTTCACCAGCTGTCGCGCCTGAACTTTGCATACCCACCGCAGGCGTAACATCGGCCAAACCCTGCAAAATCACACGCAGCAGAAACCGATATAGGGTGGACATTGGCTCGCCTCTCCGATCTCCCTCGTTCCATGCATGCGGCCAACTTCGTGGCGCTGCATCTGACTGTGGCCTCGTCGGCCCCAACGTCGATCTCCATGCCTGCCTTGCCCGAGAACCCACGGACATCGTCAAAGTCAGTATCCTCAGCGTTCGAGATGGGCGCATCGATTCCTCCAGGGTCCGCTCCTGCTTTACCTCCTCCATCGCGCGGTGGTTCAGCAAGTCCAGGACGTGCTGCCGCATCCTGGCTGGCTGCAACTTCGGAATTGACTATCTTCGGGCCGCCTTTTTGCGTTCCTCGGGCGCCGCGACCTCCGCCAAGACCTGCCCTTGCCTGGCTCCGAGGGTGCCATCGTTGCCAAGACCCTCGAGGATACTGCTTATCTACCCATAGGTGATGCCGAAAAGCGCGACAGCCTCCGATGACTCTGCACCCTTCCCAAGAACTGGGGCCAGGGGCACTGCCGAGGCCAGTGTTGTCTGCTCGTCCGCGGTGGCCCAAGTCGCCTGTTCAGCTTCCACAGTGAAGCGCTTTTGTTCGGCGATCGTGGGCTGAGGTTTCTCCAAATCCTTCTGCGCCTTGGCTAACAGTTCCTCGTGTTTGACCACATTATGCTGCTCCTGGAGCGGCTGGTCAGCAAAGGACCGTAGCTGCACTAGGACTGGCTTCGGCGACTTGGGCTCAGCCGCGTCGTCTTCTCTCCGCTTCCCAAAATCCCCCTACCAACAAGGGAACACGCGGACTTTGGTGGCCCGCGCGGATTGCTCCAATCCGCATCGAACTCCATGTGCTCTCAACCACCGCTCCCCCTCATTCCCGGATTGCTCCTTGTGGGAGCTCAAACACTTCCTACGACAAAAAAACCCGGCAGGAAAGGCTTCGCCAACTTCCGTCCCACAGCTCCTGGGCAGGCCCCCCCGCAACAAGTTGCTTGAGCCTGCACTGTGTCCCGGAAGCGTTTTCCTGCTCGTTCCCAGTGCGCGTGCCAGAAGCCCTCCCGCAGCTCCGTCGAAACGATTTTGAAACTCCCGCGCGCACGGCGCTCGCACGCGCACAGGCGGGAGAACGCGCGAACGCACCCGCGAACAGACCTGCCTTGCTATCCGGGTTTTGGACGCAAGCGGACGCCATAAGTCCTCTTTTTCAAGCGCCCCTGCAAGCGTGTCCCACAAGCGTTTCACATGCTTTGGACTGCCCCGCCATTCAAGTTTGGGTGTCCAACGGCACAAGTTGCGTTTGGCGTCGGCCAGGCGCTTTTGCCTAAACTCCAGCTGCTTCTCCAACTGCCACGGCGGAGCCTTTGCACCTCCACCAGACAAATTCTTACCATCATCCACTTGCTTGGCGGATGCATTGGCGACCCCGCATTTCTGACAACTGGCTGTGTCGGCCCTGTTCCACCAGGCCGCCCTCGAGACACGATAAAGGTACCACTTGCAACACCTGTCCGCTGCAGCCGCTCGACGCCGCTGGGCGTGTCGACTGATCTTGTTACTGGCACCGCTTGTCATCCGCAACTATAAGTACATGCGAGGGCAGGAAGCTGGCCATCAGCAGCGCGCAGCTCGCTTGAGGTGGCCTGAATTGGATGATGGATGGTAGCCGGTCGCGGACTAGAGAACCCACTTCGTTCACATAGGAACCACCATACCACCATACTTGAGACAGAATGGCGACAGACGGGGGAGAGGACGACGAGGACGAGGACGAGGACGAGGACCAGGAGGATGAGGGGGAGGCTCAGGGGACGCATCGCCGCGGGCCTCTCGGACGAGGAGCCCGAGCTGGCCCCGCGCGTCATGGCGGCCCCGCCGGAGGCGGGCCGCCATCCCCGAGCGGCCCCCGCCCGCGGAGGCCGGCGCGGCTGCGGAGCGGCGCGACGCCGCGGTCGTCCTCGTCCTCGCCCTGCCCTTCCAGTGGGCAGCACGACAGCTCTCGAATCGTCGAAGTTGGGGCAGTCACGGTCAGGGACGTTTGCGCCCTCGTCCTCCTCCTGCCCATCCGGTCGGTGGTTCGAAGATGGGAGTGGGCAACACAGGAGCCCTCAAGGTGAGGACAGTTGCGGCCAGGAACGTTTGCGCCCTCGTCCTTGTCCTGCCCATTCAGTCGGTGGTCCGAAGATGGGGTCCTGAGGGATAGGGTCGTAAGGTGCGCATGGGTGACGAGGCCTGCGGTCTGCTCTGCACGTGGTGAGAACACTCGTCACTCCCTGCTGATGCTCCCGGTGTTCCTGCCAATCGCCAGTTCCTGCGACCACCCCTCCCGGCCCTGCCCCTGCCCCTGCCCCTGTCCCTGCAGCTCCCGCCCCCCCGTGCGCGTCATGCTGCTGCTGGTGCTGAGTGCTGAAGGTCCTGCTCTGCCCCGCCCTCTAGCAACCGCTCGCTCCCACCTCTTCCTTCCACTCTACCCTGGTCGCCCTCCGGTGCCCCCTGCAGCTGCTCAATCTGAGTCCCCTCTCCCCTGACTCTGTGCGGAAGATGTTTCTCTCTCTCTCTCTCTTTCTCTCTCTCTCTATATATATATACACGTACCTGTACTATACGACAACCCTTCGGGTGATAAGGAGGCTGTGGGGGGGGAGAGGGGGGGGGGGAAACCAACATCTGACTCAATATATCTCAACATCGATCTCACTCAACGGGAAACCACGGGACACCACGGGACACCACGGGACACTTGTCGATCTCACCATCGATCTCACTATGGATCTCACTTCTTGGGACACCACGGGGCACCACGGGACACCTCGGGACACCACGGGACACCTCGGGACACCACGGGACACCGCGGGACACCTCTCGATCTCACTATCGGTCTCACTATCGATCTCACTATCGACCTCACTCAACGGGACACCACGGGACACCACGGGACACCACGGGACACCTGAGGACACCACATCGATCTCACTATCGATCTCACGATCGATCTCACTATCGATCTCACTCAACGGGACACCACGGGACACCACGGGACACCACGTGACACCTGTCGATCTCACTATCGGTCTCGCTATCGATCTCACTCAACGGGACACCACGGGACACCTCGGGACACCACGGGACAGCTGTCGATCTCACCATCGATCTCACTATCACCCTCAACGGGACACCACGGGACACCTCGGGGCACCACATCGATCTCACTATCGATCTCACGATCGATCTCACTATCGATCTCACTCAACGGGACACCACGGGACACCACGTGACACCTGTCGATCTCACTATCGATCTCACTATCGATCTCACTTTTTGGGACACCATGGGACACCACGGGACACCTCGGGGCACCACATCGATCTAAGTTTTGATCTCAAAATCGATCTCAATATCGATCTCACTATCGATCTCACTATCGATCTCACTCAAAGGGACACCTCGGGACACCACGGAACACCACGGGACACCGCGGGACACCGCGAGCCACCGCCAGACGGATGGACGGACGTGCGGGCGGGGGAGAATCATTTGTCTTGACTTCGCCCTAGCAACGGCAGACGACACGGGAGACCACGGGACACCACGGGACGCCGCGGGACACCACGAACCATCGCCGGACGGGCGGGAGGGGGAGAATCATTTGTCTTGGCTTCGCCCTAGCAACGGCGGACACCACGGGACACCACGGGACACCACGAGACACCGCGGGACACCGCGGGCCACCGCCAGACGGGCGGGAGGGAGAGAATCATTTGTCTTGGCTTCGCCCTAGCAGCTGCGGGTTCAGTCCTCTCGCGCGCTCACGCAGCTTCGCCTCGCTCGCACGCACGACTCGAACGAAACGAAACGATTTCCCGGTTGGGGGTCTCCGTTCCACTGCGATCTCACCCCCTAACCACCGATCACTTTCTCTCTCTCTCTCTCTCGCTCTCTCTCTCTCTCTCTTTCTCTCTCTCTCTCTCTCTCTCTCTCTCTCCCCGCGTCGTGTTTTCACGCGCAGGATAATATTGCTTGATGTTTCTTCTGTGCTGGCTCCCATCGAAAAGTGACCAGTACCTATAAATTGTGCTCCCGCTGCAAACTTGGCCTCCTTTCAGGATCGGCGCTCGACTCCAGTCGGTCAGGAATGGCGCTCTCGCCCCAGATCGGGGCATTTTCTTCACAAGAGCGTTTCATCATCGTTGTTACCCCGCGCATTTCCCCACCCCCGCCTTCCCCTGATCAGCCTGCTTCTCCCAGTTCTCCCACTCCTGCTCCTGCTGCTGGTGCTGTTGTTCCCTCTCGTCCTCCACGTTTCTCATCGTCCTCTTCCTCCTGCTCATCCGCCACTCCCTCCTCCAATGCACGCAGCGCCCATGACACAATGGGGTCCTTTGGAGGGTTCCAGGTCCTCCAGGACACCCGTCGGCGGATAGAGAAAACGAGCACATCAGCGCAATGGAAAGGGATGGGTGGAAGGGGTAGGATGTCAGATATGGCGCAAGCGCACCTAGCTAGCTCCTGTCGCCTTTTTCGGACCCCCTCCGCCTCACTCCACGTCCCCGATCCTCTTCCCCTCCGTCCTTCGCCAAACCCCGCCCCTCTCGAGGAAGGAGGTCAACTGGTGGAAGCAAAAGGAGCCCTGGGGTGGGTGGGGCCTCCCCGCTGCGTCCCGCTCCCATCCGACTTCCCCCGACCCCCTCTGAGATGAATGTCTGATCAGCAGCTTCCTACATTCGGGGGCACGTGTCAGCCTGACGGCCACAGGCAATCGTCAAGATGATCTCACCTAAAGCTTACAGGCGAGATGAGCAGGCCAAGAAGCAACGGATTCCAGACCATATAACAAAGGGAACAGTCGCGATACCCGTCCTTAGCCTCTTCCTCCTCCTCCTCATCATCAGAAGCAGCATCAGCATCAGCATCATCCTCATCGGCATCATCAGCACTAGAAGCATCATCATCATAAGCATCACAAGCATCATCAGCAGCGTCAGCATCATAGTCACAATCGTCATCATCATAATCATCAGCATCAGCAACATAAGTATGATCATGCTTATGGTCATGATCAACATCGCCATCATCATCAACAACAGTATCATTATCAGCATCCGCACCATGATCATCATCACCATCAGCATCACCAACACCACCACCACCATCATCATCATTATCACCATCACCATCACCACCACCACCACCACCATCATCATCATCATCAGTTTCGTCGTCACATACACCATCACTATCCTCCTCATCAACATCGTCATCATCACCAACATCATCATCACCAACATCGTCGTCATCGTCGTCGCCGTCAGCATCCTCATCTTCATGAACGTCGTATTCGTCACCATCACCGTCACCATCACCATCACCAGCATCATCATAACCATCATCGTCGTCGTCTGAATCATCAACACCACCATCATCATAAACATCACCACCACTATCAACACCATTATCGCCATCATCATCATCATCATCGTCGTCGTCGCCGTCGTCGTCATCGTCATCGTCACCATCATCATCACCACCATCGTCGTCATCATCACCACCATTTTCAACATCATCGTCATCACCAAAGCCACCACAATTTCCATCACTACCACCATCATCGTCATCAACATCAGATCAACAACAACATCATCATCATCATCATCACCATCATCATCACCATCATCATCATGATCCTTCTCACCTCGTCCTCATCCTCCTCAGCCTCCTCCGGAAACTCGCCCGCCTCGTCCGCCACCACAGCTTCTCATTGCAATTCCTTATGAAGCTCCTCCTCCTCCTCCTCAGCCTTCTCGTCCTTGTCCTCCTCCTCATCCTCCTCCTCTGGCCCAGCGGGCGCAGGCAGAACCCCTGCTGGGTGGGGGAGGGGCGCGGCAGCGCCAGCGTGGAGTCGAGGACCCTGGGGGCCGGAGCGCGACTCGCACGTGCGCGCGCCAAAGAGCAGGATGATGAAGAGGATGAGGGGGATGAAGATGAGAAGGATAGGAGGAGGAGGAGGAGGAGGAGGAGGAGGAGGACGAAGCTTCCCTGCGAAGAACGTCGCACGTGCTCGCCAGAAGCCTATCCGCTATGTAGTCGTGCAGTCCGAGCCTCATTCCGAGTCCGATCTGCGGATTCACCAGCTGACCAAGAGGAGGAGAAGGAGGAGGAGGAGGAGGAGGAGGAGGAGGAGGGTGAGGAGGAAGCTTCTCTGCGCAGATCGTCCCACGTGCTCGCCAGAAACTTATCCGCTATGTAGTCGTACAGTCCGAGCCTCATTCCGAGTCCAATCTTCCGAGCACCAGCGCGACGGTGAGCACCGCAGCGTGCTCGCGACCACCAGACGGTGAGGGAAGCCAGGCCCAGCAGGAACCTCCAAGTGCCACAACAGCCTGCGAAGACAAAAGGAAGAGGAGGACGAGACGACGACGACAAGGCAAGACAACTCTGGGGTGCTATGTGTATCTTCTATGTTCACATTTTGTAAACTAGCTAGCACCTGAATGGCATCAAAAATGCAACTTCCCACAGCAGTTGGTGTTGCAGAAAGAACTCACACGGGCGTCGACCCGCCTTCCTTTCTAATAGAATGTGCCACTCGGTGGGTGATGGCACCGCCAAACTTCCGCTGTTACGATGACGACGAGGACGAAACTGTCACAATCTGGGCACCCCCAAATTCTCATATGAGAAGGATGGCACAAAGGTCTCCCGGAAGCCACAACAGACTACGGCAAGTTCGTTCGCAATCGAGGCGCGCACAAACATTGTTTGACACCGCGCCGTTCGTCAATCTGAAATTCCGTCTGAATTACCTCGGTGCTTCCGCGTTGTTCTATCATACGGAGTTCAATCTTGAACGCCTTCGCTGTGTATGGGGTTGAAGTACAAGGGTACAGAACCCCTGATCCGTTGGTAGAGAGAAGGAGGGATAGATGGATATCTTTCCCTCCCGCACGATCAAGGTCTGATCGATCTATCTCAGTACCTGAG